CTTTTTATGCCGCGAGGCATTGAGCTTGATTGAACTGGATAACCGGACGGCGCAGAGACGACTGTTCACTGGGATCCAATCCAGCAAAGCGCGTTCAGCTCTGGGGCTGAGTGCAACTCCCACGCCATATTTCACTTCCGGCTCACTAGACACACTGGGAGAGAAATGTGAAAGAGTTGAGTCCATCCTTGGCGTTCTGAAATTCATAATCACTCCTGGGTCTTTATGCGTGCTTTGGAGACACAGCACACATCAAATTTAAGGGAGTATAAGTTTTCAGCAAGCATTGTCTTTTTGCCAATTTGACATAGAGTACGGACGCTGAAAGCTCCTATATAGAAAGGATTTTGTGGATTTAGGAAGTGTTATTCTGTTTATCGTCAATAGGCAGCGAGGAGCATAAGACCCTTCGGTCAGATAACTGACAATCAAGTGACCCAGTGACGTTTGCTTGTGTGGTGGGAAGGGTCTGTGAGGGACATCGGTGGACACCGAACTGCGCGGGCAAATGATACTTCCCGGTTGCCCAGACCAAGGAAGAAGGTTTGGTTGAGGTACCCTACATTGAGCCGTTAACTCCAATGTGACCCACAAGGCAGTGGGAGGACGTAGGGTTTTGTTCGGGGACCATACCCCCTTGTCTCTGACTCAGAAGTCTGACCCACGAGGCAGTGGGAGAATGTAGGGTTTCCTTTGGGGTCCTTGCCCGGAGCCGACGACTCAACAGTCTGACCTGCTCTGCTGCAGAGGGTTGGCCTAACCCGAGGGCACAGGGAGTAAGGCACTACTGTCTCATTCCTGATGCGGCTGCGCACGTCAGATGCCTCTTGAGTAGCACTTGGCTCTTTGGTTTTCGACCGTATTGGATAATGCGCCGGCAGTCACGATCGGAATGCTTCTAACCCGTCCTTCCTCGGGGAAAGGTAGCATCGCTGCTTCCATTAATATGGACATGCCGATCGCCTGGAGGAAGCACTTTACTGCCTTCACACTCCTGTCGCAGAGGACATTACGACTTTACCCTCAGACCACCTCGTAGCACGATTACTCGTAGTGCTTTGGGTCTGACTGCTCCCCTTTGGCCATCCCGACATGGTTGCACCTTGTGGAACGACGTTCCAGCCAGTGTAGCCCAAGGGCTCATTGCAGCACTCAAGCCTGTACGGCAGTGAAGCATCGGTGTTAAACACTGATGTCATGCTGTCGATGATAATGATGATGATGTTGATGGGCACTCAAGCCTAAACACCATGTCAAGATGGCAACTTTAGGTCGGGTCCTACGTCCATCCGATTTTCGTTAGGTTCTGCTGCTATCCTCTCATGATTCCCAAAAGTAACCCTATATTGTCAGAAATTTACGTGGCCGCCAATTCTGTTGACTTCGCTTCAGGATGATCGCGGAGAGTTCGGGTGACTGGACGCTCAAGTAGCAGATCAGTGATGATGCTTGAGTATTCGAGCATATCCTAGAGTCAGTGCCAACGACGACTGAACAGCTTTGCTTCAGGATCAAGTGTGCCTCGAATACCATGATGTTCCTTTTAATTTTGCACTCGGCTGTTCGTACTAAATCTCCTGTGTTCTTTTTCCGCCACTGAGATTCTAGGGCCGGGATCTACAGTTGGTCGCAACACTACTTTCCCGCTTAAATAGTGCAAATCCGAAATAGTCCTTGAATACATATTCACGCACTGCACTTAAGTGAAATGTCCCTCGAAACGTCTGGTGTGTAGCACCAGTGTGTATTTTAACGACAGCATATGTATATAGAGGTTTTCGCTCAACTGTGACGTAAAATGAGTTCTCCGAAAATGAGCTTTCAGACATTTGTTTACAGTTCTCCTCTTTCGAGTTAATTTTTTGTTTTACTCTAGCCGTCTCCGCCCTTTTCTTGAATTTATTATACAATTTGCCGTCTCAGTGATGAACGACGAAATAGTTTGTCTCTTTATCGGCCGCTTCGCTTACCCGTTTGACCGTTGAAAAACGAGCTATTTAAGTCATTGCCCAACCAGTAGACAAGGAAGAAAGAAAGCGTTCAGAGGTGGCACCCTTCCGGTGCCTAGCTGCCATGTCACCCGAAGGAAGCAGGAGGGCTGGGATACTGCCAGGTTGCCCAAGCCTAGACAGGGAAGTCGAGAGGCGGAGGTCGGATTCGAACCACGGACCTTCCGGTCAGTAAATTCGCGCTCTAACCACTTAGGCTATCTCGCCCCCAGTAGACAAACTAGTGTGCTTCTGTTACTTATTGTCTTAGGCTTCCTTCGACGAGTGACGTCACCCTTAAATACCGTCCTCGCTGAGCTGAGACACGTTCGATGAATCGCACGGTGGCGTAGGCACATCTCTGGTATCTGCAGTCGACATTATTCCCTTTTGTGGCCCTCGCACAAATGCATCTAGTACATTTGTGACAGATATAAAGGACCCCTGAATAAGTTTCATGTTAAAGAGATAACTGAAAATTCCATGAGTCCGACCTGGTAGCTGAACTGGTTGTTTTTTATTTACGTAAAGCAAACGTCCCCGTTTTTTCATGTGTGTATTCAAGTACTATGAGCTGCCAGCAACTTCCACGGGCTCATTACAGCATCTAAGGGCAGCAATGAACTAAACTCGAGCAGAAGGGTCAGCATGCCTCCACTGCAAATGTTGCGGTGTGCTTTGGACCCCTTTAGTACAAAAATAGCCAAACTGTCGAATTCGCTTTTTCCGCACCTTTGGCTTTTAGATATCAGGTAACACTAAACATACCGAAAAACACCAAACGTTCACATTTCCTTTGTCCATTGCAGCGTGTCTCTAACGCCCTGTATTGTTTTCAGCCTGCTCACACATCCATCCTGCTGACATCTCATACCCGTGGCAGAAGTTCACCATGTCTATCCATGAGCTTTTTATCATCCATCATTGGCGCACTTTCGTCACGTTCACTCTATGTCTTACCGGCACACTGATGTTCTTCAATCTACACTTTTTCCAGTCATTGGATCTGAGGCAGTCTAATTTAAGTGGTCGGAGTGATCATAAGTCTATGTACTGTTACGAATTATGCCGCGATATGGACTGCAACAATCTAGGTCACCTATCTCTCACGGCGTCCAACCTTCCGTTTTTGGTTGACGAGTTGATGCGTATCAATCATTCTGTGCATAACGAGCTCATAGAGCTGGAACAGCGTCGACTTGATCTGTTGTCCAGTTTGAGCAGCATCCAGACTCAAGTGGAACATGTCCGTTCCGTGCTGATTGACCACAGTCGTCAGTTTATGCGACTAAAAGTAGGTTGTCCTCTAGGTCTGCGTAGAGTTTATCTTCCAATGCACATTATAGATCCCTATTCTTTTGAATCCCGGTTGCACTCTCTATTTTACCTAGGCTGATAATGAAATATTTGCGACCGAACTGCTTGACCTAGCCAACTGGCCAATGACCAACTATGCTCAAAACCTATGTGATAACTTAACTATCGCGTCCTTTCTTTTTATTACACAATAAAATTACAAAGGAACAGAGAGATCCTGCGCAAAGAGCTATAAAACGTAATATGAAAACATACATAAAGCAACGTAAACATCCAAAGAAATTGAGATAAACGTTAATCCGACCCCTTAGGTAGTTGCAGGTTTGCATGAGATAGTGGCAAAGAGCTCTAAAGAGGAAGCGTTTCTGGACAGAGAGGTGAAAATCGACCTGCCCTACAACGCAGAGTGGTAACTTGATCAGAGTAGGTGAATGAGCAAAGAAGTATTACTGTTGGAAGGTAAAGGTAAATGAATAAGAGGCAACCTCCTATTAATATTTCTCGTGGTGGTAATAAAAGATTAGGGCAACAGACACTACGTCCTGTGTGACTGTTTGTAGGTAGTCAGTCAGTGAGGAGGTATCGATGAAATATACGATTGTGCGTTGAATAAATACAAGCTTGAGTAAGTACGCTGAAGTAGCACCACTCAAATCCCGACAGCATTAGCGTAGAGCAGGGCGAATTTGTGCTTTCCGATGGAGAAGCTCAGGGTCAGCTAAACACCTACAGACCCGCAGAGGGACGTCAACCCTCCTGGATACTTGCATCGCGAGGGCCCTGTTGCATAGGAATAGCATAACTTGTCCGAAAAAGACAGGCAAAGAGGGATGAGTGACAATCATTGAGGAGTGGGGGGACAAGGGGGCAATGGAGATGTTTACAAGAACTTCTACATTTTATTGTATCGGCTTTTATGGTTGCATGCGCACATGGAAAATAGGATGTGACGACAGACCTGCTCACCTAACTGACAAGCGGCACATCACATTAATATCCAGTGGCCCTTGTCAGTCTTTATAACATGGTGGAATTACCGCATATCCTGTTGTTGCAACTCATTTCATTAATTCATTTTTAGAAGATTAGGAGTGAAAAGTTGCTAGTGGGACGGTATGGGACAAACGTTGTCTGCATTCGCGTTAGCACAACGGATTTTTAAGGTAGTCACTTGATCCTTTCGGCTGGTCACTAGACCGTTCGTCAAATCTGCCGTGTCTTATCGTTTCAGCTTAAATGGCAGAAAGTAAAACACCATTCCTACTGCTGATCGGTACCTTATTTTTTCTATCAAGATTGTGGTAATCTTGGTTTATAAATACTCCACCATCTCGCCACATCGTCAGAGATAAGTGATAGAAATCATATGGAACTAGTGTCGAACCGATACATGAACATTTGTCTCATTTGATTGAACGTGCAGTTAGTGGATAACGGAAGAGAGGTTAATCGAAAAGGATTTATTGTGTTGGTCGTGTCCGTTCATAAGGGAACAGAGGGGATACCAGCCAGTTGCTGTTAGACTTAAACCATTTCGTAGGCGTAGCTCAGACAGACCTTAGCTAAACAATATGCAGTTGCTCCATAGCAGGTTCTCACTCATGTTCGGTGTAGAAACGGGATTACTATTAACTCTGTCAGGCATGCTACATTTCTCGGGCTAGCGTTTCCCTTCCTTTAGTTGCTTGCATGTCTCGGACGCTACATCTCGTCTTGTTCAACTCTTATCGTGTAGGTTACTGATTCGTGTTCTGTGTGTAAATGTCTGAATAAGGATGAAACAGTTATGCAGTATTCCTGCTTTTCGAATAATTCGGTTTAACTATAAGGAACGAGGTTCACAACGATCCTTTATCAATTTCGAAGGACCAGGTCATTTAAGATGTTTGATGTCTTATCGAAAAGTTCAGGATTTGTCCAATGAAAATCTAGGCTCACCCTAATTCTTATTCCGTACTCTACATTCTCGCTATCCAGGCAACCATCAATGCTCACGAGTATCACCTTATGGAGCTTCAAAACTCTTCACCTGTGGTGCATATACAACCTCCTTTTCAAATTGCTCCTCCTCCCGATTTGGAAACCATGTCCCGGAATCCAAGTAGTTTGTCTGAGCATCTCTGCACAGTTGAATCGTGTACAAATTGGAATCACTGCTTATCGAACGACTTTCTCAAAGTTTGTCTCTATAGCTCTATGTCCCGATCAAATCCGTTGTCGCTTGTCGTCAAACAATCTCCTCATTATGTTGCAGATTGCAGGCCGAATACATCGAAAGTTTGTCTGCAAATATCAGTCGGTCTTTCTGACGCAGTGGACTGTGTAAAGAAGGGGTTAAGTACAAACGGGCCGACGTGTCTTGCTCTTCTATCTCACATGGATTCTGTCTCTGATCTGTACGACAAACTCCGAGACAGCCATCTTGTAGCCCGTTCCATTATCGTTGCTCCGTATTTTCCTCCAGGTTTATTTCGGCCACGATTCGATATCCTTTCACCCATTCCACATGAACTGTTTTCATCGACTTCCAATAGAACCAATCTTCTCCCTGGCCAACGTTTCATACTACTTGCATTCTCAGCCGGATGTGTCCAAATGGAAAATGCATCTTCCACATTAGTTCATCAACTTCGTCAGCTTTCCAACAAGACACTGTATCCACAACTTCATTCTCGGATCCACATGCATTTTCATCAGACTCAAACAGAGTTGCTCCAATGCTGGCCAGCCCCCTTGCGAATGAGGTATGCAAACCTTATGATGGCAGAACCTACTTGGTTTCCCTGTCAAAACGCTGTAGCTGTAAGTTTCATTGGGTTTTTTCCAAGTACGTTTTTCCCCGAAGTCTCTTGTTACCATTCTGCATTTGAAATTATCGTGTTCCGTTCCTTCTCTTCTAGCTTTTACGGAATTCAACCTTCTGTCTTGTATTAGACACTGGTCTTCCTGGCACTTCTCCCAGTTTCGGTTGGCAAGCTCAACTTTTCTCATGTTTGGCCACCGGAGCTGTCCCGGTCATCTTGGGTAGCAACCCTGTGTTTCCACTGGATGACACTGTACTCGGTCCAACTGAGTGGTCTCGTGCGGTTCTTCGACTTCCGAAACTCAGAGCATTCCAACTACCAGCTATCTTACAATCCATACAAGAGGCACATATTGTCGAGTTGAGGAGACAAGTTCGTTCCATTGTCCTTGATATTGCATCTTTGCCCTGTTACATCGTTCCGCCATGATTCGAGATACAGCGCATCATAAAGCCTTAACTCTTGTTGCATCCTTCTATTATTAGGGTCGCTTGTTATTTGAGCGCTATTTCAAAGACGATGCAACTCGGCTTGCCTCAGTACTCTTGGTGGTTAGCCGCCGACTGGGTTTCCCACAGCCACCGGCATTGAGGTGGCCAGCGGTTCCTGCGTTTGGCCCTGGTCTGCATGAACCACCAAACGTCTACCAAGTACCCCGAGAATCCACCGCTCAGACGGATTTAGATGATTTCCTTGGTCCAATCGGTCCAGAGCATGCCTCTCCGTGCTTTCTTAACAATTACACCGGTTTGGGAGGCTCAGCACGCTTGGCCGTCGTATCCACATCTCCCGATTCTGACGCAATTGTGAACCCATTCTGGATGCATCCGTCCGTTCCATGGGATACCTTTCTGCCGTCTGACGCACCATTCAGTTCAGGTGCTTTTCATACGTACCCTTCCTACTTAGCTTTTGGATTTTCAAAGTGCGCGGCACAAAACATATGTCGATGTATGTTACCCTTACTTGTTCGACTTCCCCTGTCTAGGCTTGAGCAACCGGGCAGTATCCTAGCCCTCGTGCTTCCTTCGGGTGGCATGGCAGCTAGGCACGGAAAGGTTGTTACAGTTGAATGACTAATTATGCTCACCCTTGCTTGTAACTGCGTGTACCTACCGGCACGATATATTTAGGCACATTGAAGTATTTCCCGCCGAAAATCATGTTATTCCTCTAAGTTCCCATTGCATTTCGAAAATGTTCGGGTTTTCAGGAGAGCTTTACATCACCGGTGAGAAAGAAAGTACTCAAATGTATGAAACTTCACTACCTACTGCACGACGAACCCCCCCCCTTCGTAGGCGATTGTGTAACACGGAACATGCGAGTGCAAAACAGAGGCAGTATTAGAATAATAGTCGGTGAACGGGGTGCGCCTTTCACTGGTCAGCCTGTTCTTATCACCATTAACTCGAAAGGATTGCACCAATGAAATGGATATTTCTGAGTACACAAACCCCAGTACAACCACGTATAACTTGTACTATTTGTTTTTTTATGCTTCTATCGGGCATACCTTCGAGATCATCTGGGACAAAAGGCTATCTTTGCTCACATGGCAGTTGTCGGGCGCTGCTACACATTTGGGAAAGAGAGGCATACGTCTAATTCACAGTTGTGTTCTGTCCATTGTTGGATTCCAGTCGCCGCACTACAACCTCTGTTTCAACAGGAAACTCGTTTGATTGAACGGAGTGAACGGATGCTAGTGCTCCTGTATTACGGCAGTTTCCAACCAGATGAGCATGTTTGCCACCAGTCTCTGAGTGATTTACCCGTAATCGCATTTTTCCTGTTCTAGTCGCACGTTCTCTCCATCTTTATCGCACATAATTCTGGATCTTAACGACCACTTGGTGTGTATTACCGCGGCTGTCAATTGCACAAATAACCTCATAACCCGATCCGGCCAAGTCGCTAGCAACATCTCTTCTAATACCTCAACCGTCTCACCGCCGATCCCCATTCGAATAAAGGAGACCAGGCGTAACCGATGCTCTAGTCCAGGTCAGATGGAATCTACTATTTGGATGAGAAGCAGTCATATAGCACGGTATTCGTACTTCTTCCAGCAAACTTGGCCGTAAAGGCCGGACTGTTGCGGTGAACTTTTCTCTATCCTCTGAATGTTTTTTTCCGTTGGCTTCCATCAAATTGTTCCTTGAAGCAATTCTGCTTCACCGGTTGGTCGCCGTGAAGGCTAATGGGTCCGGAGTATAGAGTGCTCACTCTGACTGACCTGCATGTAGCGGAATAAAAATCGCACTTGGAATTTTGAGCCTTCAGAACTAAAACAGTTATGTTGAGCTTGAAGGTGTTTGGCTTAAGTTTGAAAGTGAGCAGTAAGAGTACCGTTCTTTCACTGGAATAGCTTAGCCCCTAGGCCACTCCATTTGAATTACTTATACATGATTTTTTACTGCACGTCAGTTTTCCACATTCATATTCAACACGATTTTCCATAAACCTCTCCCTCTCTGTAGATGCGCACACAGCCCGCGGGCTGCGTCCCATCAACCACTCGATTAATCTGGCTGGGTACGAATTCAGCATGAGCCTCGGAGGCATGCATCCCTACGAACAGTTTACTAGTGAGTGAGTCACCAGAAACCTCTTACTGATCACGGGTTACCCGTATTTTCACCAAAACGTTCATTTTTTGTGGCGCCTGGATGCATTGAGTTCGAAGGGATGCGCACGTCTGTGACTACCGGCATTTGTCTGCCCTGTTGATCGAGTTATTGAGAATAAGTTGTACTTTGTTGGGTGTTTTTTCCTCTTCATCTGTATTTGTGGGCGGAAGTGTGAGTGCTTATTGTTCTCCCTTTTGTTCGTCGATGTTCACCCTCAATGGATCGAATGACAGACCTTTATTATCTGTATTCACACTACTCCCAACTGAAGAGGTCTTTTCCACTCCCGGCACAATTATCTCGCAGTCCGTGTATTTCAACAAGGAACTACTAGACTCCATTTGCGCTCTTATGAAAACTCATTAGCTGTGCATATTCTGTTTTGAAATCTAAGGTCAGCTATTTAACGAGTACACTGGACGCATTCTTTGCCCAGTAACTGACTTGTCTGTGCCAGTTTCTGAGTTGCCTGTCGTCTTTTTAGCCCAATATTCAGTTGATGCAGGTTCCTCTGTCCCTCAAAATCGTGCTCTGGAAAAGCGATTGTTCCAACCAAGCGAACTTGACTTTTTTCTATTGCAAGAAACAGAATCCTTCGAGGAGCGGTGCATAAAACTGTTTACTCATCCAGAACGACAAATAGGTTTCGTGGTTAGGACACCTACGACAGATAGCTAAGAATAGACTTATTCCGGGCAGATTGGGCCTAGTATTCCTAGTAAACTCGCTGAATCAACCCCGTAGCTTCGACCGTGTACTGTGTGATCACACTGCTGATCAACTGCTCGTGGCTCAACGGCTGATTATTCATACTACTAGCCAGCAAGTTGCGGACTCTAGTTTATTTGTAGTTTTGTGAGACTCGCACTACTGACGAACTTCTGTAAGGATGAAACGGCTGCACAGTGCTTCAAGGCATTTCAGAAGAGATTGGCTTCACTTAAAAGACAAAATTTCAGTAAGAAAATTCCCGACAGCTGTGGAAGATGTTTACCTGTTTTGTCGACTTGGGATTTTATGGTGTGCCAGTGAAAGTTTCTGTCATTCAGGCGGCTCCGTTGCCATTACAATATCTTCGTCCAGCGAGCACATTACCCAGAGGTTGAGGTGGTGCTAGATTTGGGGGAGAATACTTTATTGTGTTATGTGTTGCTCCCTTGCATCTGTAGGTTGCCACCACATACTATGGTGGCTCAGGGGTCTGTGACTCCCTATATTCCAACGTATCGCTATGGGAGACTGGTTCGAATAGGATTTTAGCAGCGTGGATTATCGGACGAGGATGTGCACTATTGTCTGTTGCTCAAATCTCTTTGTGTTGCCATTATGTGTGTCCTTCTCTGGTGGATACACTTGCTAACGAGTAACGCCCTCTTGTTAAGATGTGTTGGAAAAAGTGCGATGCAGGGCTATTGTAACTATTTGAGAATTGTTGCTATTATTTCCAGTTGCTAGTCGTAATGTACTTTCCGTACTATCTGAATAAATCCTGTGCTTCCTGGATTCCTCAGTTATCATGCTCACTTACGACCGGTTTGATCTGGCCTGTCAAACGTTGGAACGGTTAGTCAATTTGCCGTACGTGCACTCGGTGCTCGTTGTGTGGAATCATCCCGTCGCACCCCATCCAGATTTGAAATGGCCGTTGCTACACGTGCCACTCAAAGTAAGCTCTCCCTCGGAATGTTTTATTAATCACAACCGGTTACAACTTCTGATGCACGTGGTGCATTAGCCGTTCGTCACCAGAATATTCCATGTAGTCTCGTTTTCAACTTCATACTTGGTTGCTTCTATCCTCAGAATGTCCATCAGCTTACGTTAGAGTCTTTTGAGCTTCCATGTCTTATAAACCAACCCGTGGTGGGTTATGGCAGAATGCTGCGAAAATTTTCGGGTCAACTTATCGGTTGTCGGAAGGCTGGAATGCTGTTTTAAGCAACCTTCAGGGTTTTTCTGCACGTCCGAAATCCCATTCAGTTTGTGTACTCTTGCTCAAGGTATGTATGCCTTAATTCATTATATGCATTGACTCGTGTTTAGCCCTTACACTTGACTCCATCGTCCACCAGACTCGCATTGTCATTCTTCTGACAAATCACCATTTGGAGTACATCCTGTCAACTTTCCTGCTCTTTTCTTAGGTCATCCGCGCCAGTAACAATAGTCTGAACAATCGCTTCCTTCCTTATAACTTGATTCAAACCGATGCGATCCTATCGATCGATGATGATGTTCAACTTCGACACGATGAGATCATATTTGGCTTTCGGTGAGTCAAGTGAGGGTTGTTCTCTTTCCGCTTGTTTCGTGATCAGTGTTTAGTCTGAAAAAAGTGTTTAGCTTTAAAACACTTCCCATATAGTTCTTGTCCCTTGTTATAACAAAAATCGATTGACCTATGAAGTTTGGCCGTTATGAGCGGGCCTCTAATCCTACCAATACTCCCGGTTTTCATGCCCATTTATGGTGTTTAACATTGGAACCAATTTCTTCATCTCGCTGGCTCTTAACGTGGAGTGGAGCAACCCTCCTAGGGCTTTTTTTGTCCTGGCTAACGCCGAGCAGAAGTGTTCAACATTCGAGAATGTTTAGCGATCGTCTGGTGCCTGGCACCCCGAATACAAGAGCATGACTTCCTGATCCGACACGTACCGAAGAATGAGAACCTCCTGGCCGATCGGCTTTCAAGCCAAATATTTTGGCCGGTGCCAATAGCCTCATCGTCGAACTGGATCCCGGGAGGTTGTTACGGCTGCAGCAAAAGGATCCCATATCACAAAAGATTGCAGCCACCCTGTTGGACAGGAGAGGTATTGAGGATGCTGGGGAACACTTCGATAGACATAGGCTAATTGAAGCTGGCATATTGTTCTGGAAGGTCAGCGGTTCGAATATCTTACCGCCCGTAATACTTCGTGACTTTATGGCTAGTTGTCAGTATCTGGAACGCAAGTCCCTCTCGAAGACTCTTCGAGCAGTTCCTGGTTATTCATCTCGTATTTACTTCTGTTACCTTGTTACCCCACATTCATTTATTATTCCCGTTCCAGAGCCGCTGTCAAAGCACACGCACAGCACCTTTCGTCCCCGCACGATTCATACTCCACTGTTATTATTACGTCTATTTAGAGTATTTCTACAAAGACGGTTAAAGCATGTGAATATTTTTACATTTACTGCCAAAACGGTCAGACACTCTTCCAGGATCTGTGGCCTCGCTTGCAACTAACTGATTATGTTTGCGATGAAATTTTGTGAATTCTCCGGATTGTTTGCTCCTCCAGACTTCGGTTCCATTGATGAATTTGTTCATTCCATTCACATTCCAAAAACAACCACTTGTCTCCCGGTACAATGGTAATCATGGGATGTCTGATAACCATAGCGCGACGAATCGTGGGGTGTGTGAATAGAATGTCTTCGCAGTGAAATTTGCTTCATGTGTGCAATGAGGTTGTCCGGGGTGAGGGGAGTGCAGTACATAGTGTAGCTCATTCAGCTTCCTATGAAAAGTCATGGAGCAATATATATGGGGAGGCCGTTCTTACGACAATTCTTCATAATTCCTTGCTGGTTTCTGTTCTATAGTATACTGGATAACAGCAGATCATCACCATGCTTACTGAATACGAGCGACCAATCAGCACAACTTGCTGTTATGTGGTTGGGGTCAAAAATGATGTAATAATGAGGCTTCCACCGCGACTGAGCGAACAGCCCCACGTCGGCTGGGGCCAGAGTGCGTTGAGACTACAGAGTTTTCGACCAGAAATCCAAGCGGAGCGACATTTAGACATCACAAGACGGGACGGCTTGCTTGCCTATCCGAATGTTGGTCTCAGTGATATGGCAGTAGGTTGGCACATTTAGCTGCTCTTAACCCTGCGTGGCATAACGCCACTCGTTGTCATAGGGATCTTCGCACCTTCCTGATTGAGGCCCCCGCAACCGATCCCAGTGGCGCTCATGCTGCCAGTTCCTGGGCTGACTGAATAAATAAAGTTCGTCTGTCGTCCTGCGCTGGGCTTACGCAAATAACGCTGGTTTGTTCCCACTAATAGCGCATTACTCAGATATGTTTATTTTGATTTTGTCCAAAAGTGGGCACCTCATTCCTGGTCGTTTGGCTTAAGGGAATAGAACTTCTTCCCACTAAGTCCTTCCGTTCCTTTCCATTCTTTACTAGGTCTTTATTCCCTCGTAGGTGTACGGTAGTTAGATACCTAATGTATTGCTGTCAATAATTTTGCCTCCTTGCCATCACCTATTATTATCGCGTTGCATGATGCAGCCAGACTTCTCAATTCCACTCAGAGATGCACACTATTAGTTGTTTCCAACAGGTCGAAAGCAGCTGTCGATTGCTTCTCGGTTTTCAGCACGGTTCATTTGAAGCATAACAATAAATAGTTCTGTAATTTGTTCTTACGTATCTCATATTTTGCCCCTCATAGTTGAGAGTTTACGGGATGATGTCATCCCACGGTAGTGTTATTCTCATCGGTCCTCTAAAACAGTCTCATGAACAGTTTTTCGCTCATTTGTGTTCATTGTGTTGTACATTAATTCCCCTGTACAGAACCGCCATATCGGTAAGCAAGTCTATCGCCTTACCTATTATTCAGTCCAGCTCTGTTTTTTTTGCGGGAATAGATCGCCTAACTAAAGATACAAACAGCCGTCTTGTTTGCGCGTTTGTGGCATTTTTCTTTTGTCAAAATTTGTTTTTTTTTTCAAGTCAGCTCACTGCAACGTGTCTTTCACAGTCAGTACTCAGTTTTCGTCATCTTGGCACAAGTCTTCAACGCGTGGCTAATAGCAGCTCTTCCCTGATGCCTCTCCTACAGTATTCTATGCATTTCGTTTCACTCATGTGAGAGCTTTCCTGTGCATCTGCGAGTTGTATTCACCACCCTCAGTCCAAGCACTGAAATCGTTTTTGCTTATTGTATCGATGCCTATTTGTATGTTCTTGCTTTCCACCGACCTGGCGATCAGTATGATCTTCTCAGAAGTTAGCAGTGGGAGCGCCCACCAACACGTTCAATTACCTGTTGTCACACTGACTGAGTGCCGAAGTTCTGTGTCATTTGTGTACAGCTTGTGACGTTGACCCCGAGGAGACAGTTTCCTCAACCGCCAGGCCGTCCGGTGGCCGTTGGTAGCACCCTTTCAGTGCGAAAATACACATAGCTAACTACAAGTTGGAATAAGCCTTGTAACTGTTTCTCCTCGTAGGTCCAATTGGGATATGCTAAGTCTAAGGGGACATACTTGAATAAGAACTAGGTATTTCTTGCAGTCACTTCTTGCGCAAAACACTCACGAAACTCCGGTACGCCGTAAGCCTGCTCACCTTTTCGTGGGAGTTTGCCTTACAAATGTAAATGTGCGGTTCTTCTCTTTTTTTTCCAGTGTATGGCGTGAAAATCGAGACCGGCTAGTTGGTTTCCCTGTCCGCTCTCACTTTTGGAACTGGTCGTCTGGCGAATGGTACTACCACTCGGATTACACTTGCGAATTCTCGATGGTGCTGACCGGGGCCGCCTTCTTTCACAAGGTACCTGAAACATTGATACTTTTGAAATTTTGCCCCATCTGTTTGGCCTATGTTTGCTTGGGGCAAGGACTCTGTCCTCACGCAACTGAAATTCTCTTGCATTCAACCATGGCTTCAATGAATCTTCAATTTATTTGTATGTTTCTTCTCTTCATCAGTACTATTCCTTTGCCTACACTTGGGAAATGCCATTTGCTATCCGGCAAATGGTCGACGAACGCATGAATTGCGAAGATTTGGCGATGAACTTTTTGATAGCGCATCTGACCAGGAAACCACCACTAAAAGTAGGTGAATTATTTGCTATATTTCCCCCTTATAGTAGTAATCTGTCGGTTATGGTTCGCTTCTTTAACTTTGATTAGTTTGATGTACTCATGCTTGCTAATTACCTGTCATTCGTGCGAGAAGCCATAATGTCTTCGGTTTTACTGTTTTTCTCACCAATCGCAGGCTACCATTCATTGGACTTTCAACTGCCCTACTTGTCATTCTACGCTCCATGATCATCCGACCCACTATGAAACCCGTTCGAAATGCATCAATTGGCTGGCAGATTTTTACGGTTACAATCCCCTAATCTACAGTCAGTACCGTGCAGATTCACTGCTTTTCAAAACCCGCTTACCACCATCAAAACAAAAGTGCTACAAATTCATCTAGTAACTTTTTTTTCTATTCGAGACTTTTTTTCCTGAAAAACTGCAGCATTCCATACAGACGCTGCAGACTTGGGGCCTTAATGGAGTTTTTATGCTTCCATCTACTGTTTGGATGCATTCAACCTGTCTTTTATGAATGCCCGCATTTGCCAACGGGACCACATTTTTTTCACGACACCAGCTTCCTACTTACTTCTATTCTGCCCATTTCTTAGCTTTTTTGTAAACAGAAATAGTATGAGCTCAAACGTTATTATTTGGTTATTTGTCAGCTCAGAGCTCACCTATCACTTCGTTTTCAGGCATTATCAGTGTGACAGTCTTTTGCATTTTGTTTTTTAGATCAAAAACTCGAGTTTCCTCTATAGCTATTCGCAGCATCGCAGTTTCCCGGCTTTGCTTTGTTACCAATTTTGTGGCGGGATTATGAATGGGTTTCGTCCAGATGAGACTGTCAAATAGGACCTAACAACAATCATCCATACTAGTACGTGTGGCGTACAGGATTAAACTGGTCGACCCAGGTAACCCCGTGTGTGCGCAATAGTGCTTTAGGACGAAACCTCATAATAACACTGGGATCAACAATGCTGGCAACGGGTGCTCCGAAGGCAAATAGGGATCAACCTCAGAGGCGCTGAGTGAGAGCAAAGTGCAGTACTTCGGCACTTGAGAAGACCCAACAACGGCTGGCTGAATCAAAGGGCTCTACAGCAAGCAATGAACGAAAACGATCGGGCTGCGGGAACTGGAGGAATGCATAGAAACGTCTGACCCAGTTCTCTGCCCCAGGCATCAATTCACTAATGAAACGCGAGCGGCGAACAGGCAATTATGGATTGTGTCACAGTTCTGAATCCAGACAGTATATAAAAGGTCTTGTGTGAGGGCTAGGGTGTGTGCAAACACACGTCCGTCCAGTTGCCAGGCTTCTCGCCACAACATGACCCGATCATGTGTCAGCCGCCTCACGATGGAGGCACATAAAATTTGGAAGTGAAGACAATATTTGAATTTGAAATTCGAGAAGCCCTTGTCTGTGCAGTACTCTGTGTGTGTGACGATATTGAACTGGTCTGGGATGTTTGGCGTATTGGAGAGGTACTCAAAATGGATAGGGAAATGATTCCCCAAGATCCCAAGCAATTCTTGCAGCCGTGTATGTGATTGTGTGTATCTTACGCTTTATATATTCATTATATGTGGCACACAGCTCAAAAACGTCATTGCGCCGTACAGCACGTGGCGCCAAAAATGGCTCCATCATTTTTGAGTGGCTGAGACTTATAAGTGCAGTTAGTGAGAAATATGGATAATGAATCTGTACACATAGTGTTGGGCTATATGTACCAGTGTTTCGAGTCACGCAGGGTTCCTGGACACCTAACATGAGGACAATCTGGGTTTTTCATTAACCATTCCATCTTTTTTACTTCCGGTAGAGGAGCACGAGAGGAAAGTACTTAGCAAGCCGTTGGAATATTCACACAGGATGTGTGAATAATGAGATTCGCATTATTTAATTAAATGTCGTTGCGTCTGCTCAGAACACGACATTATACCTTCACGTTGTTCTCACACTGTTCCCACAAGGTGTGCGCGGTACTTTGTAAGCAACGATGATCATTTGGGGAGATTGGACCAATGTCTCCATTCCAAAGAACCTAGGTTTCACAACCTCAACTAGTATCTACCGAGCCGATGCGTCCCTACGAGTTTTGAGGGTTTCTTAACACAACCCTTGTCTTCATTCCTAGGTCTCGCACGCGTTTTTCGGATACTCAATTTCCGATGTACGTTAAGTTATCCGTAACCTCAAAAGTTCCGTTTTATGTGGACAACACTACGACCTCTTAAATGAGCTTTTGGCATTCGCTGAGGAAGGATGGTATCGTATCGATGTTGTCTTAACTGGTTTATAGTGTTCAATGGTCACTCGATCAAGACACATCTGATAATTTAACCTCAGGTTCGGATGTGCTGACCCGGGTGAAATGGCTTTTCACGGAATACAGTGGACGCTCTCACTTCATGCTAGATTTTATTAAGTCTTTCATAAACCACTGAAAAAAGAAGGGCTGGCACTCTCTAGTTTAAGAGGTTCTAAATGCCCTTGGTATATGGACGATACGTACTCAGTCCATTGTTTACGATTAAAGCCATAACGTGAAAAACCATGAAATTCCTCCTCGTGCTGTGTTTGTAGCCATTCGCAATGGTCTACTCCGAATATGATTTCCCTCCTGCCACTGACGAAATATCTTATGTTTCTCGGATTCATCGCAGGTGTAAATAGATACGATGGTTACTTCCAAAAGGGATTGTTTTTTCCGAAAATTTCATCAGTGGAATAAGCAACGATTGTTGTTTGTGTTCGTCGGATAAAGTGCTGTAAAGTACTGCGCTGTGTGTGGAGGTGGGCTTTTTAGGAGCGTTTCCATCTGTCTCACCTCTAACGTCCGCTGTGAAAGAGAAACGCTTCCCACGAGGATCTGGTTTTCAGTCAGGGGGAATTACTCTGACTGTTGATCATTAACACGTCCAGTTCGAATAGTAGGTACACGATCAATGCCTACACATGATAGCAGGCCTATTCACAAGTCGTTTATAACTATTGTGAGGCTGTATACTTCGCCTCACTTCCCCTCACCGCAGATGGCCTAAAACGTAAGTCTGCATCGAGTAAGGCAATACGAAACAAACGCGAAATTCAAGGTTCGCTGGACTGAACAAGTTTCAGATACTGGTTGGAAGTGATGTATATACTCCTAACTACTGTTGTCTTGTTAGTAGAAAATCAAAGAAGACAACTTCGTGCATCCAAACGTGCCAGTGCATGTGTTGAAAGATGCCGGGTTTTCGGTTTGAGATGATTGCTCGCATGACTTTTTGGGTTGCAAACTTAGGACATAAAATCTGCTCTTTTCTGTCCAATGTGAACACATTTCTTTTACAACAATAACTTTTCTTTTATTGACTGCTGCCACACTTTCGGACAGAAACGTAACCGGGATACGGCGTCGTACGCGAAAACTAAAGACGTCAGAGTTAAAAAAACAGAGGTGTGAGAAAATTACATGACGTATAAAGGGACTATAACGTCGGCCCTAATGGATGCTCATGAGGTCATCAATCCAACGAGATAAGAACCACAACGCTGTTCTTGCATGGTCCTGGGTGTGAATGCAAGGGAAGTAACCGGCCACATCCGGATGTAACAGGTGGAATGCGTAGTCAAAGAGCGTTACTATTTCGATGGTTGTTCGCCTGATTTCCAAGTAAGCCAAGGTTCATTCAACCTGATCGGCAATTCTTAGAAATAGATGCTAAAAGCAATTTGATTTCGATTTTGAAGCGAACTTTGTTGACGTCTTCATGCTACTTAAAGTCGAGGAAGTTCACCTTACGAAGATATCCCTTAATGTTTAGTGAGACAGCTGAGGATCTTTGATAGCACCTTGGACAAGAATACATGAAATAACCTCGGAATACCTACCACATCTCAATGTGTGTCCTTAAATATGTGGCTTGTATTTCTTGTGTCACTAAGTAGGCATCCGTAAATATAAATCATGCTTTGTCAACAAAACTGCAAATCGCATATTTTACCAAAGTAAACCATTGGCCAGTATCCAAGGTGTCTGTGTAGAAAATGAATAAAAACAGTGACAAAACAACTAACAGGGGTACGTCACATTCATTGTTAAGATTTTTTATATCCTCACTTCAATTTCAGCGTAATGTTTTTGGTCGGTAAATTAGTTGGATGATGAATGGTGGTCCTGGAAAGTTTGTGAAAACGATGCTAAGATATATTACCTAACCATCGTATATTCGAGTTCTAACCAGTCTCACTGGGTTCCATATTTCGTGCTCAGAGAGTTCTGTTCACTTCGATGCACTAATTGACTTAAACATAGCTACGCGCTCTCGTCCGAGCTACAACGGAGTTCTGGTTTCTTACGAAGCCATCTCGGTCAACAAAACAGTTAAACGTCATCTAGTCCAACTCGTAAGTCTGTCCCATTCGATCAACGCCACATGTCTTGTCATGCCGTGTATGACAAATCTATCGGAGACTTTGCACGCTTGTTTTCTTACACCATTCACTTTCCGTGTATTTATATTTTGAGCAAATACAAACCAACAACTGTCTCGCTGATTCAGCTTCATGTGCACAGAACTCAGGAAATATCATGTTGTACGTTGAAGGGCTGTGGACCGCCATCAAAGGCCAATAAACGCCAATTAGAAAAACAAACACCCTTGAGCCATGATTATCGCAAAAACCTCAGTTCCTATGTTAGGCAGTATCCTGCACCGAAATCGCTGTACCCTTTGCGGCAAGTCGCTGTTACGGTTAAGAAACCTAACCCACATGAAATTGGCCAGAAGGTCGGGCCAGTATCAAGGCGAGCTCAGACTGTCCGAAAGTGTGGTCCCAACAACCAATCATGATTCGATACCGGCAGATTGCCAATGGCGCGTCTGAATTTCCGGAATGTCGCCTCAAAAACTTTAAATACAATGCGCTGGACATATGTTTTTATGCTAGTTTTGAACGTATAGTACACTTTGTCCGCTCTTGGTGGTCATTTTACTGAAGGAGGGATCAAATGGAGAACTGATTTCAGGCATCATCGTTATTATAGACTACATATTCCAGAGTACCGGGGTCGTTTCCTATGTGAATACTACAACGACTTACACCTTCGGAAATCAGTCATTTTGCCAGTAACCATGCCATACTATTGGATCTCACTTTTCTGTCTAGAAAGGTCCGTATCCTCTTGTAGCTAGTACTCTTCGGTGCCACTTATTATCATCAGTATCCTCATTATTGCTTTCATCATCACTAGCACCATCATCGTCGTCAAAGGCATCCTCATCCATCACTCTGGGGCCTTGGTACATAAAATTCCAGAGATGGTAACAAGTTGCGTGCGTCTAGCCGTATACTCAGGTCGTGGATAGATGGATGAATAACTTGGACGGTTGGCTTTGAATAAGTTAAGCTTAGAGGATTAGAAACTCCGAGCAACTGTCGGTAGCACAAAGTGTACTGTGTTCCGGCCTGGTCAGCCACTTCTTCATCAAAAGCCACAAATCCTCAGTGATATTATCATGACAAGCTGTCGTGACCCGCCTTCGATCAAAGTCGTTTACCAGAGGAAGCTAAAGGAAGAGGTAAGAATAGCTCCATCTTCTTGAACATATTGGAGCGTTTTTCGCCGCTTTCATTTTTACTAGGTATCTTCTAGTTGAACGTTACGGCCAGATGTAAATATGAGTGGAGCCACTTCTGGTTCACAACCGAAAGTCAACTTAAAATAAACTGTTTTCGATCCCCACCGATGCATGTGGTCGCGGGAGTCGT